GATTAAAACAAGACCAAACACGATACAATTTCAAGTGTATTTACTTATTGTTGTTAAGTGCCATAAATAAGTAAATTCGGTCCAAATTGTACCGTGTTTGGTATCATTTTAATCAGCAAAATCTAACAACTACGTTAGTAGAAGTTTTATGGAAAGAAAACTGAAAAATATAAAATTCATGGTTGCGTTACTATTATGTCCTCGACACGCAGAGCGTGTAAACTTTATCGTCGCCTCGACGCTTTTTCTTTTCCACTCGCTGTCCTTTTCTACGTTCAGCGTTGATTCCATATTCAGAATCGATTCCTCTGCTCACTAATCACCCGGGCTCCAGTCCCAATTTCCAGATACTAATTCAAGTTTCACTATATACTGTACCATTAAATCGAGGGACGTGTGCTCTTGAAACAACATTTCGTTTTATTAATCGTGAACAACAGAGACAGTGTCTTGGAATGAAACACCAAAGAGGGTGACATTTGGACGGGGTACACTCCGAGGAACCAAAAGAAGGACATCTTGCGCGCGGTAAATTGGGAGGATCTATTGGAATTGTCCACTGGTTGTACTCCTGAAGATCACGTTAAAGCTTCAACGACGTCCTTTTCCGATCACAGGAACGCTTCGAACGGGGACTGGTCCTGAATCGAAGTGATCGCTATACGGGGAACTGCGAGTGCACGTGTCTCATATGCCTGATCAGAATGTCCTTTCGGCTGGTCCTGTAGTCGCATATCTGGCAGGAAAACATGGGCGGCAGACCGCAGCCGGTGCTCAGGTGACGATGAAGACTCGCCTTCCAGGTGTAACCCTTACCGCAACGGGGACACACGAACATCGGTTTGTCGGACTGGTCGGGCGGGTCCTCCAACAGATAGCTCAAGTCTCCCCCTAAAAATCAAAAGCGTACTCGTTAGTACAGGATACCGTCGGTCCCCTTCTCACGGTCCTATCGGACAGATCTGAAAGAAACGTCACAACGGATGTAAAAGCTCGATTCAAAATGTACCGACGCAAGTCCAGATCAGTTCCGATCCTCGCTGTGAATCGACTCTGGACGTCGAAGGATATAATATGATTACACCATTGTCCGATGATATTTGAACGTGAAATAAATTCAACAGACGATCGGTACGATTCTAATGAGTGATATTTTATTGATTCATGGATGATCATTATTCGCTGGAGTTACCAAGGTTGTCGATATAATGAATCTGAAAATTCCGCTGCACCAGGTCGTTACGGGACATATTTAGAGGGCTTTAGTCGTAGAATGCCCACGGAAAATACAGTTTCTTTTTGTTTTCTCTCTCAATATTTATTGCAACTGACATCGCCAACAACTACAACTTACTCACAAAACGCACGAAAATTGAATTTTTGTTTTTTTTTTTTTGGTCCACTCGCTATAGTATCATTTGCGAGGTAGACGATCGACGAAGGTCGTCGATCGGTGGATTAACAAGCGATATTCGAGCACCATGTACGGTCGACGATGGATCAAAAGATCTCGGTCTTCACGGGTGCCGTGTGTTCACGGGCCACATGGTAGCGCAGCAACGTCGGTATCCTGGCTCTGTGCGCGCAAAACGGGCACGGATAGAGGGGCTCCATCTGACAGAAAAAATTCATGTGCTTCCGCAGGCTCCTCCAGTCGCTGTACCGTTTCGCGCACTTCAGACAGAGCAGCTCGTCCTTGCAACGCCTCCATATCTCGCGGGGCAGCTGGTCGCAAAACAGCCGGTGTTTCACTGAAACAGGATTGGAACAACACGTGAGTGAACGGAACACGAACGAACGAAAAGGAAACGAACAAACAATCAAGGGGCAGAAGGAATTTGGGAATGTGTTATATAATATGTTCATCTCCGATAATGGTTTGTCGTTGAAATCACTGCTACGAAACCATCACACTGTCGACACTTTCATCGATCGTACCTTTATGGACAGGAAGACCGATATTTACCATTGGAATAAATTGTCGTTAACATTTTCGATCGATCACTTTTTTATCGATGGAAACTGCAGACGGGGTGATGTCTTCGCGCGGTGACTTCGATGCGTGGAAAGAGGGGCGACATCGAACGATGTCACTGAAAAAACGTGTTCTCGAAACGAGTAAATAAAATTCACAGCAATGTGAGACGGATTGTTCGACGAGGGGGATCGATAAGTGATCCCGTTGTGAAGAATCATCACTGCAATAAAAAATGGGAATGTGGGAAATAGGATTTTTTTTATCGATGATTCTCTCCTGTGTGTGTGATTCTGTGGCATCGAGGTAAAGCATCACACGAGATACGTAAACCGTGTGTATTTTATTATTTCTTTTTCTTTTAAGTAACACCTTACACAACAACAAAGATTTCTTTTTTAGATAGTATCCTGCCGGTATCGCGAGTCCAAGATTAACGAAAAATCGATCGATCGATTATACAGACTCTCTCGGCGACTCGACCGAGAGACCGAAACGCAAGGAAATCGATCGTCGCGCACGACTCTCTGGTCGGGGAATTTCCTTCATCTTCTTCATTTTTCTTTTTTTTTTTCTTTTTCGTTCCTCTCGTTATATATCATCGATAACAACGAATTTTAGAGGCGTAGTCAACGAGTAGAACGAGAAAAGAGAACAGAACCGAACCGAAACGAATAGAGCGAATTGATATTTTTTCATCTTCACTTTTCTTTCTGTTCATTTTTGTCACAGCCCAAACAACACTAACCAGCCGCGAGAAATAAAGTTAACGAGGGGAATCGGCGTACCGTTATTATATATCTGTCGGCTACAGCGATACAAACGTCGGCCTGAATGATCGTCGCTCTTGCCCTGAAACGATGCTATTCAAGTGTTCAGATGATTGTAAAAGTTCTTAAGTGCACCATTGCAAGTATTTATATCCTAGTCCCTTTAATAACGCAGTCTTAACAGATTATATACGACAATAATAATAATAATAATAATAATAATAATAGCAATAATAATAATAAAAAAAGAAAAGATTAAGAAGGATAACGTGTGAAACGGAGCAAGGAGAGAAAATAGCTTGAAACATTCAGCACCATCGAAGTATACCAAAGCTCGTGGAATACATTCCGTGGAGGGACGCGAACCACTCTTTATAATAGTGCAAACGCAAAACCGAGGACTACAAACATAGACTCATCCGTAGTAGAGAGGCGCTCGGGATCGCGTTTCTATGCCGCGAACGCACGCAATGTATACAGCTAAAAAAATATATATATATATATATATATATAACGAATCCTACAAAATAGCGGAGGAAACGTGAAATAAAACTTATTTCGAAAATCCAACGCGCGCAATATCGAATAATCAGCCTTAGAGTCGTGAAAAAACATTTCTTTCTGACTTTTTTCAGTTTCTTTTTTTTTTTTGTTTGTTAAAAACGAGCAACAAAGCGTATCTTCTTCTTGTACTCGTGTACGTCCCGTTGACGTACGTACAGAGATCTAACTATAAGACACTTTCTCTCCTTTTGTTTTACCAAGAAAAGGGCACATAATCGCCGTAAAATTTTTGATAATCACTCCCCAAGAACCGTCCCGATGCTAACACCGTGATAAAATGCTCCTTCCACCAGTGCTTCAGTGCCATTTTGTAATCGTTTCTTTTACAAATATTAAGTGTGTGTATATATATATATTTATA